AGAACCACCCCCAGCCCCAGGGGCACCCGAGGGGCAGCGATGGCAGAACCACCCCCAGCACTGGGGGCACCGACGGCAGAACCACCCCCAAACCTCGGGGCAGGGATGGCAGAACCACCCCCAGCCCTCAGAACCACCCCCAGCCCGATGGGCACCTGAGGGGCATGCATGGCAGAACCACCCCCAGCCCTCGGAGCACCCACCCCGAGGGGCACCGACGGCAGAACCACCCCCAGCCCGAGGGGCACCTCAGGGGCAGCGATGGCAGAACCGCCCCCAGCCCTCAGAACCACCCCCAGCCCGAGGGGCACCCGAGGGGCAGCGATGGCAGAATCACCCCTAGCCCTCGGAGCACCCACCCTGAGGGGCACCTGAGGATTGGCACGGATGGCAGAACCACCCCCAGCCCGATGGGCACCGAGGGCAGAGCCACCCCCAGCCCCAGGGGCACCCGCCCAGCGCCGGCTCCATCCAGGCGGAGCTGCCCGGACCCGCCCGCCGCTGGCAGGAATTCCCGGCAGAGCCGCGGTGCCCGCTAAAGGAGGGATGGGTTTCCCTGCCAAAGGTTGGCACCTCCCTGGATCTGCACCCTGGATTGTGGGGATCCCAAAAACTGAGGAGCTGCCAGCGTCCAGAGCGGTCTGAGCGTCAGGATGATCACAAAGTGATTTAGGATGATTTTTAAGGTCATCCATTCCAGCAGCTGGCATCCCCCTTGGCAAAGCAGTGCCCTCTTGGCTCTTTTCCAATGTTTTGGTGTTTTCTGAGGTGTTTTGGCTCAGCCAGCTTCATCCCCCGTCGCTCCTCGCCATCCCAAAATCCACCCCATGCTTGGAGATGTTTGGACATGACCAGGATGGGACGTCGAGCAGAACCAGCTTTGCCACATAACTATTTAATGATTAAGATTTAATATATTTAATAAAGTGTAAAGCTATTTTATCACCTAAGAGCTGCCCAAGCTCCCACGCTGGGCACAGGGGCACCATGGCAAGATGGGCACTGGGCACTCCTAGCTCAATTTAGGGCTTCAGCTCCAGAATGTTCTCAGCACATCACAGCTGCCACCTTGGTCTGGCCCAGCTAGAGACTGGGAGGAACTGGGCAGCTGCTGGTTTTGGGCATGGCATGAGGTTATGGAGGGGTTTGGGTGTCTTAAAGTGGGCTTGGAGTGTTCAGCTTGGAGTTTGGGGTGCCCTAACCAGGGTTTGGGGTGCTCAGATGGTGGTTTGGGGTGCCCTAACGAGGGTTTGGGGTGCCCTAGCAGGGTTTGGGGTGCTCAGGTGGTGGTTTGGGGTGTCCTAATGAGGGTTTGGAGTGCTCAGATGGTGGTTTGGGGTGCCCTAACCAGGGTTTGAGATGCTCAGCCCATAATTTGAAGTGTTCTGCTCAGGGTTTGGGGTGCCCTACCCAGGATTTGGGATGCTCAGATGATGATTTGGGGTGCTCAGATGGTGGTTTGGTGTGCCCTAACCAGAGTTTGGGGTGTCAGTCTGCGGTTTGGGGTGTTCTACCAATGTTTGGGATGCTCAGCCCATGGTTTGGGTGTTCTACCAATGTTTGGGATGCTCAGCCCATGGTTTGGGTGTTCTACCCAGAGTTTGGGGTGCTCAGATGGTGGTTTAGGGTGCCCTAACCAGGGTTTGGGGTGCCCTAACCAGGGCTTGGAGTGCTCAGATGGTAGTTTGGGGTGCCCTACCAGGGGTTTGGGTATTCAGATGGTGGTTTGGGGTGCCCTACCAATGTTTGGGATGCTCAGATGGTGGTTTGGGGTATTCTACCCAGAGTTTAGGGTGCTCAGATGATGGTTTGGGGTATTCTACCCAGAGTTTAGGGTGCTCAGATGATGGTTTGGGTTGCCCTACCAGGGTTTGGGGTGCTCAGATGGTGATTTGGTGTGCCCTAACCAGAGTTTGGGGTGTCAGTCTGTGGTTTGGGGTGTTCTACCAGAGTTTGGGATGCTCAGCCCATGGTTTGGGGTGCCCTACCAGGGGTTTGGGTGTTCAGATGGTGGTTTGGGGTGCTTACCCAGAGTTTGGGGTGCTTGGCCTGTGGTTTGGGGTGCACTATCAGGGTTTGGGTTGTCAGTCTGTGGTTTGGGGTGCTCAGTCTGTGGTTTGGGGTGTCAGCCTGTGGTTTGGAGTGCCCCACCGGGGGTTTGGGGCGCTCAGATGGTGGTTTGGTGTGCCCTAACCAGAGTTTGGGGTGTCAGTCTGTGGTTTGGGGTGTTCTACCAGAGTTTGGGATGCTCAGCCCATGGTTTGGGGTGCCCTACCAGGGGTTTGGGTGTTCAGATGGTGGTTTGGGGTGCTTACCCAGAGTTTGGGGTGCTTGGCCTGTGGTTTGGGGTGCACTATCAGGGTTTGGGTTGTCAGTCTGTGGTTTGGGGTGCTCAGTCTGTGGTTTGGGGTGTCAGCCTGTGGTTTGGAGTGCCCCACCGGGGGTTTGGGGCGCTCAGATGGTGGTTTGGTGTGCCCTAACCAGAGTTTGGGGTGTCAGTCTGTGGTTTGGGGTGTTCTACCAGAGTTTGGGATGCTCAGCCCATGGTTTGGGGTGCCCTACCAGGGGTTTGGGATGCTCAGATGGTGGTTTGGGGTGTTCTACCCAGAGTTTAGGGTGCTCAGATGATGGTTTGGGGTGCTTACCCAGAGTTTGGGGTGGTCAGCCTGGGGCTTGGGCTGTTCTACCAGGGTTTGGGGTGCTCAGATGGTGGTTTGGGGTGCCGTATCAGTGTTTGGGGTGCTCAGCCCATAATTTGGGGTGTTCTACTCAGGGTTTGGGGTGCCCTGTTCAGGGTTTGGGGTGCTCAGATGGTGATCTGGGGTGCCCTAACCAGGATGTGGGGTGCTCAGATGGTGGTTTGGGGTGTCCTACTCAGGGTTTGGGGTGTCAGTCTGGGGTTTGGGGTGCCCTACTCAGGGTTTGGGGTGCCAGTCTGTGGTCTGGGGTGCCCTAACTAGAATTTGGGGTACTCAGATGGTGATTTGGGGTGTCCTAACCAGGGTTTGGGGTGTCAGTCTGTGGTTTGGGGTGTTCAACTCAGGGTTTGGGGTGCTCACATGGTGGTTTATGGTGCCCTGACCAGGGTTTGGGTGCTCAGATGATGGTTTGGGGTGTCAGCCTATGGTTTGGGGTGTTCTAACAGGGTTTGGGGTGTCAGTCTGTGGTTTGGCGTGTCAGCCTGTGGTTTGGGGTGTCAGCCTGTGGTTTGGGGTGCCCTGTTCAGGGTTTGGGGTGCTCAGATGGTTTGGGGTGCCCTGTTCAGGGTCTGCAGTGCCCTGCCCGGGTTTGGGATGCCCAGCCTCAGTGCCCACCTGCCCCAACATGGCACACACGCACACACTCACACATCAAGCACACACACACATCATGCTTGCACACGCACACCTGCACACACACAAATCATGCTTGCACACATGCCCTGCACACACACATCATGCTTGCACACACAACCTGCATTCCTGCACACACACATCATGCTTGCACACACACCCTGCGCAAACACATCACACACACCTGCACACACACATCATGCTTGCACACACAACCTGCACACCTGCACACACATCACACACACACCTGCACACACACATATCCTGCACACCTGCACACACATCACACACACACCCGCACACCTGCCCACACACCTCCTGCACACCTGCACACACACTGTGCACGCACATCAGACACAAACAACACCTGAACACACACACCACACGTGTGTACACACACCAGACATGACTGCACACATGAACAATGCCTGAACACACACATCACACACTGTGCACACACATCAGACACAAACAACTCATGAACACACACATTACACATGTGCACACATGTCAGACACAAACAACACATGAGTACACCAATCACACATTTGCACACGCATCAGACATGGCTGCACACATGAACAACGCCTGAACACACAAATCAAACGTGTGCACACACACCATACACAAACAACACCTGAACACACACATCACACACTGTGCACACACGACACACACAAACAACATGTGAATACACCAATCACACACTGTGCACACACATCATGTTTGAACACACACATCACACATTTGCACACACATCACACACAGCTGCACACATGAACAACACCTGAACACACAAATCACACGTGCGCACACGTCAGACACAAACAACACGTGAATACACCAACCACACATATGCACACGCATCAGACACAGCTACACACATGAACAACGCCTGAACACACACATCACACACTGTGCACACACACCAGACACAAACAATGCCTGAACACCTGCACATCACACATGTGCACACACGTCATGTTTGAACATACAAACCACACGTGTGCACACACACCAGACATGGCTGCACACCTGCACACACATATCACACACTGTGCACACACGTCACGTTTGAACACACACTGTGCACACAAATCGTGTTTGGACACATATGTCACACATGTGCACACACATCAGACATGACTGCACACATGAACAATGCCTGAACACACACATCACATGTGTGCACACACATCATACACAAAAATCACACTCGCATATCACACATATCTCACACACTTATCACACCTGTCTCACACATGTATCTCACCCATATCACACCCAGATATCACACTTATCACACACATATATCTCACATATCTTACACACTTATCACACACGTATCTCACCCATATCTTACACCCATATCTCACCATATCACACAATTACCTCACCCATACCTTACACACTTATCCCACCCACATCATACACATATCTTACACGTATCTCACCCATATCTTACACCCATATCTCACATTTATCTCCCCTTATCTCTCCCTTATCTCCTCTCCCCAGCCCAGGGTCCCCTCCTGCTGTCCCCCCCTCCCTTCCCGAGTGCGCACGCGCGGGTTCGCTCCGCCCCCTCCTCTTTAGCCCCGCCCCCAGCCCCGCCCCCGCTCCCCCTCCCGCCGGCGCTGCGGCCGCTCCGCTCCGAGGCCGCGGCGCGTCCCCGCCATGGCCGCCCGGGCCCCCCGCTTCCCTTCGGCCCTTCCATCCGCCCGCCGCTCCCCGCCGTCCCCCGCCGCCCTCCTGCCCGTCCTGCTCCTGCTCCTGGCCGGCCCGCTCGGCGGGGCCCGCGGTGAGTGAGCCCGGCCCGCACCGGGCACAACATGGCGGCGCCCCCGCCCCCGCCGTGAGGGGAACGGGGAGGACCGGGGAGGGGTCGTGAGGGGGAGCGAGGGATGATGGAGGGAAGCGAGAGGGAGGCGATGCGGGGAGCTGAGGGCAGCGCGGGGGGATGAGCCGGGGCCTGCCCGGGCCTGGGGGCGGCTGTGGGGCGGGCGGGTGTGGGGTGAGGCCCTGGGGAGGTTTTAGGGTGAGGGGAAGGGGGTGAGGGAGGGCTGGGGGTGTGAGGAGGCCCTGAGGGGTTTGGGGGCGGGGAGAGACAGGGGTGGGTGTTCCAGGGTGGTGAGAAGGGCTGAACTGAGGGGAGGGGTGGATCGTGGGGTGGGGTTGGAGGGGCCTGGAGGTTCCCCCAAGGCTGCCCCTGAGGGTTTGGGGCGTGGATAGGTGTGGGTGTTTCAGGGTGAAAAGAAGGATTTGGGGTGGGATCTATGGATTTAGGGGTTCTGAAATCGGGGGGACTCTGAAGGCATCAAGGACGTGTTTGGGGGGCTTGGATAGTGTGGGTGTTTCAGGGTGAAGGGAAGGATTTGGGGGTGGGATCTGTGGGGTTAGGGGTTCTGAAATCAGGGAGGACTCTTTAGGCATCAAGGATGTGTGTTGGATGTTTGGGGGCTCACAGAGGGGCGTGGATAGCTGTGGGTGTTTTGGGGTGAAAGGAAGGATTTGGGAGTAAGATCTATGGGGTTAAGGGGTCTGGAAGAAAGGGGAACTCTGAAGGCATCAGGGATATGTACTGGATGTTTGGGGGGTGTGGATAGGTGTGGGTGTTTCGGGGTGAAAAGAAGGATTTGGGATCCATGGGGTTAAGGGTTCTGAAATCTGGGGGGACTCTGAAGGCATCAAGGATGTGTGTTGGATGTTTTGGGGGGCATGGATAGGTGTGGGTGTTTCGGGGTGAAAAGAAGGATTTGGGGGTGGGATCTATGAGGTTTGGGGTTCTGAAATCAGGGGGGACTCTGATGGCATCAGGGATGTGTGTTGGATGTTTGGGGCTCACAGGGGCGTGTGGTTTGTGTGAACCAGAGCTGGTTTGTGGCTTTGTGGGATGGGGATGTGTCAGGAAGAGGCAGCAGCAATTGGGGCTGGGGGTGGCTCTGAAGACCCCTGTGCTCACCTTGAGAGAAGATCTGGGAGCCTTCAGCCTCAGGTTTTGGGAGATAACGATGGAAATTGAGATTTATGAGTTTCACAGAGGATGGGCTTGGAGGTCTCAGAGCTTTCTGGGCTTGTCATAGAGGTGTGGATGAGCCCAGGGTGGGCAGTGCCACCGTGTTGTCGTGGAATTTCTGGGGTTGTGGCCTCTTCCCATTATCCTGTGGCTCATGCTGGGGTGAACTGGGCACCCCCCATGCCCCAGAGGTGTGTCTGTACCACACCCCCCCCCCTCCAATCTGCAATTTGGGCTTTTAAGGAAACCTTTCATACCCTGGGCTTCTGGAGCAGCTGTAAATATTTGTTTGGAGGGAGGTGAGGGGGGAAGAACTCTTTGTGTTGGGTGTTTGTTCTGTGTTGATCCTTTCCTAGGGAAAGAGTGAGAGCTCTCAGCTCTGGCTTTGAGAGGAACAGGAGGTTTCTGCTGCAGGTTTGGGGCAAACAGAGAATCCCAGCTCCATTTTTAGGAAGGAAATTGAAGTGGAGGAACGATTTTCCCCATGCCCCAGAGGTGTGTCTGTACCGCCCACCCCCCTCCAATCTGCAATTTGGGCTTTTAAGGAAACCTTTCATACCTTGAGCTTCTGGAGCAGCTGTAAATATTTGTTTGGAGGGAGGTGAGGGGGGGAAGAACTCTTTGTTGTTCCTTTTCCTTTCCCTGGTTCTGCTGCTCGTGGGGGAAGAGTGAGAGCTCTCAGCTCTGGCTTTGAGAGGAGCAGGAGGTTTCTGCTGCAGGTTTGGGGCAAACAGAGGATCCCAGTTCCATTTTTAGGAAGGAAATTGATTTGGGATGAACTGGAGGGACGATTTTCCCAAAGGAAAGACCTGACTGAACATCTCTGGGCACAGAGGACGGGCTGGTGGCCACTCTGGTGTTCAGGGCTTCCCAGAGCAGTCCAGCTCTGTGCCCATGGGGGTGATCCTGTTGTGTAACTCGGGTACCTGTCCTGACAGGTTCCTCTGGGGAATATTTTTCTCCTCCCCAACCTCTCCCCGTTTGTGCTCTGCATTCCCACCTGACAGACAGAGGGTAATAACTCTGTGTGTGTGTGTGTGCAGATCTGGGCTTGTCAGAGCACACAAAATGCCTTCAAACCTCACCTGGGCAGCAGGTGAGGGTTTACCTGGGATTCCTGAGAATTTGGGGGTACAAATTTGGGAGGAGAGGAGCTGTGTTTTGGTGCAACCCCAGCCTTACAAGGGTATTTCAACTCCTCTGTGATAAATGGCAGAGCAGGATCAGATGAGACTCATGGCATGGCTGTGCTCAGGCTTTCACTTAGCTAAAAATGGGTGTTTATTAAAAAAAATCATAATTAATAAACAGGAAAAGACCAATTGAGTGTACAAATCCCCTGGAAACTTGGCAACTCGTGGTGCCTTTGATTTTGGGCTCTAGGAGTGATTATTGTTTCCGCTTTTATTCAGTGCAAGGTGTGAGCTCAGCCTGGGCTGGAGGGAGCTGCACTCGTGGAATGAGGTGCAGGATGGCAGGGATCACCCTGGGAATAATGAAATAATCAAGAAAAATCATCAATTAAAAAAAAAAAAAAAGGAAAATAATCAAGAAAAATCATCAGTCTTTAAAAACAAAAAAGGAAAATAATCAAGAAAAATCATCAGTCTTTAAAAACAAAAAAGGAAAATAATCAAGAAAAATCATCAATCTTTTTTAAAAAAAAAAGGAAAATATCCAGGCTCCTTTGCAAAGGGGTGTTGCAGGTCAGCTTTGCTTGAAATCAATCAAAAACCCACCTTGAGGGAATAATTTTGGGGCAGCAGATTTTATTATTAACACCACCTGCTTCAAATATTTCCTCAGTTAAATCAGGCGAACCCTGCGTGGTTTGGAAGTTATATCTTACAACTTTCCAAGAAAGCCTTTCTCTGACTGGAAATTAAAAACAGTGTCCAACAAACATTCTTGAACTCGTCCAGCTCCTTGGCCAGACACTTGGGTTGGTTTTTATTTTTTCTTTCCCCTGAATTCCCTGCCAGCAGGGGATGCTCCGGAAATGGCTCTTGCGAAGGGAGCCGAGTCAAACGTCAGCTCTCATAGCAGCAAGCAAAGTTCACTGGGTGGTGACAGGGGCAGAGCAGGCAGGAATTGCTTCTCTGTTTTATAGACATGAAATTCTGGGTGGGAACTCCTTATTTAAGCCCTTGGTTTTCAGCTGTTTTGTGCTTCTCTTTGTGCACCACTGTTTATTTCTTTCTTTTCAGCAGAAAATAAAAAAAAAGAGCCTTCCCTACACTTTAAATCCTTGCTGCTTTTTGTGGCCTTCTTGCAAGTGTGGATTGCTGGATGTGGCAGTGTTGGCCACATGTTAAACAATTTCCACTCTGGAAAAGCCTGAGAGAAGCCAGGATGGCTCTGAAGTCTTGTTGATAAACCTGGGCAGCATCAGGTGTGCAGGGTGTTCTTCCCCAGCACCAGTGGGTGTGGGGTCTCTTGCCTCCTAAACTGGTTTGCTGGCAAGTTAAAACACAGAATTGGTGTCAGTTAAAACACAAAATTGGTGTCAGTTAAAACACAAAATTGGTGTCAGGTAAAACACAAAATAGTGTCAGACCAGGAGCTCTGTGTCCATGGTCTGGGTGGAAGAGCAACAGCAGAAACATCAAGACTTCTTCTAATTAACCTCTTAATGATGAAACTCTTGTCAATTCCTTATTTACCATTCATTCAGGAGCTGGTCTGTGTTCCTGGGGTAGATGCAGGGAAAGTTCTGCACTTTAAACACAAAATTGGTGTCAGTTAAAACACAAAATAGTGTCAGACCAGAGCCAAGAGAGGGAATGGTGAGATGTGTGTCCGTGTTCAGGGTGGAAGAGCAACAGCAGAAACATCAAGACTTCTCCTAATTAACCTCTTAATGATGAAACTCCTGTCAATTCTTTATTTACAATTTATTCAGAAGCTGGTTTGTGTTCCTGGAGTGGATGCAGGGAAAGTTCTTCGCTTTAAACACAAAATTGGTGTCAGTTAAAACACAAAATTGGTGTCAGACCAGCAGCTCTGTGTCCATGTTCTGGGTGGAAGAGCAGCAACAGAAACATCAAGACTTCTTCTAATTAACCTCTTAATGATGAAACTCCTGTCAATTCTTTATTTACAATTCATTCAGGAGCTGGTTTGTGTTCCTGGAGTGGATGCAGGGAAAGTTCTGCACTTTAAAGCCACATTCTTCCTGCCTCTTTTATTTTTTTTTGTTGTTTCCATTTCGTGTGTTTTCTAGTCAGCCCTGCTGCCTTCACGTCAGGTCCAGCCTGTGCCAGGGGACTGCAGCCAGCTCAGAGAAGTTGAGACTCTTACTTCCAACTTGAAATATCCCAGGATAATGTTTAGTTTCTGGATGACTTGCTTTAAAGTGCTTTGTTTTTCATAGTGTGCTTTGCAGCTAATTTTAACTCCATTTCATGTAGCAGCAATGGGTCAGTAGATACCAGAAGCACCAGCAAGAAGCAAAAAAGAGAAATGTTTTGATCCACAACAGGAGGGGAAATGAGATGTGGGGAAGGTGCTGTAGCTATGGAAGGGTTGATTTCTCCAGCTCCTTAGTGAGGAAATGGGCACTGACAGCACCCAGAGCTGGCCTGACATTGGATTTTGGGGGCAGTGGGTGCAGGTGACACCTGGGGAGCCACTTGGGACTCAAATTTATCCCAGCAAGGGCTGCAGGGATCCCCACCAGCAGGGTGAATGTGAGTATGAAGGGCCAGCAAGGGATGGAGCAGCTCTCCTATAAGAAAAGGATGGGAGAACTGGGATTGTCCAATAATGGAGTGACCTGATTGTGG